TTTTTTTACTCATAAAGTTAACTCATTAAAGCTCTCTTTTTTCTTGAAATTTATTAAATCTACATTAAAGGTTCAGGTATGATATCCTGATGTGCAAGTTGATTCTGCGAAAAATAGCATCCAAAGCAGTTTTGATATTAACTGAAACACTTTAGGAACAACTATCCAGCGGATCTTTTTTCCAACTTTTTATTGAAAATTTTCATTTTATTTCTTTTGCTATTTCTTTTTTCTTTCTTTTTTTCTTTTGTTGTTTAATAATCGCTGTAATCGTGACTTTAAAAAGATTCAAAAATAAAAGGTGATAGTTCTTATTACCTTCCTTCAAAGATCTTAGTTATGGATTGCTATTTTTAACAGTACTGCTTCGCTGATCAGAGTTGTGTAATTTTTCCTGTAAAAAATTCATATCCATTTTCAAGAAATGCTAAAATTTTAATTTCTCAATGTATTTTCTGATGTTACTTTAAATAAGCGAAAGAAAAAGAAAAGAAAGAAAGAAAGTAAAATTTACTTATGCCAAACTTTTTATGTTTTTTACTGAAAGGTTTGTTTACAGTTGTTTGAGAAAAAAAAATAATAATTTGTTTAGAGCTGTGGAGAAGTAAATTTTGTAAAATTATACTACATCAAAGCACTTTTTTTAATATATCTTTTTTGCATAGTAAAATTATACTACACTTAAAGTTATTTTAAAATCAAAAAACCAATACTTCGGCTTTTTTTTTTTAGTTTTTATTGCACTGAAAAAGTCGTCTTTGGGTAAAAAAATAGGCACTAGTAATTATGACAGAAGATTTTGGTTTGTTTTTTTGTTGTTGAAAATTTCCTGTAAAAAAAATGATAATTTTTAATGGAAGTAATTTGAATAAGAAAAAATCTGTTTTTATAATACTCAACCAAAACAATTCAAAAATATGTACGTTCAAAGTTGTTGAAAAAAGAAAAGCGTCAATAAAATTGAGCAAACAAAAAAATGATATACTCTTCTAATTTTGCTTCTATGTTTTTTCTTTTTTTTTGAAATATTAATTAAAGACGTACAGAATAGTACGGTAATTTAGGTTCAATCTTTTACATGACACTATCAATTTTAAGCTGTTCAATTACCATTAATGTAGTTCAATAAGTTACTGTTTGCTCAATTTATCTTATTAATTTTCAAATTTATCCGTTATTAAAGTTTTGTGGTAAACAGA